AAAAAGTATATTTCCATTTTCTGTTGACTTTATATTACTTCTTCCCTGTCTTTTATACACACATACACACACATATATATGAAAAAAAATACATGTATAACCAACGTAAGATTTTATGTTTTATAGAAATCTCCAATGACCTTTAAATAAGGGTTCATCTAATATATTTCATATAGTCCTGCAAAAAAATAATCATTTATAAGTTTTGGGGAGATAATTATTTCTTTCAAAAATTGTGACAGTTTGTTGCTGTACTTTCTTCTTAACTCTTTTATCTCTTTCTCCTCCCTCTTTCCTAACTGTACTGTTTGGGATCTCCAGTACAGTCTTGAATAGAAACATTCATAATGAACTTCCTTGTCTTATTTATGTTTATAAAGGGAGTAGTTCTAATATTTCACCTTAAACATGGCCTTGTAGGTTTTTGGAAGCTTCTTTTTATCAAGTAAGTGAAATTCTCTTCAATTTCACTTTTGTTAAAAGTTTAATTTCTTTTTTTTTTTTTTTTTAATTTTAGGGAAGTGTCTACAGGGTATAGGGTGTTCAGGGTCTCACTACTAGATCAGACTCATAGTGATCTGCCTGTTTACAGCCTCCCAAGAGCTGAGGTTACAGGCTTGCACCACCACACCCAGTCTCAATTGCCATCTCAGTGCACCCCTAGGGGCGGGGCTGGCACAGCAAGCCCAGGGATAGAACCCCCAGTCCCTGTGCCTACTTGCAGGTGCTTTAATCCACTGAGCTATTTGACCAGCCCTAAAAGTTTAATTTCTAGTTATGAACAGTTGTCAAATTTTATCAAATGTTTTCTGTGTATATTCTGAGGTGATTGTGTGATTTTTTTCTTTAATCTGACAGTCCAGCAAATTATGTGAATATGTTTACTATTGTTAAACCAAATGAGTTTATTTAGATGCATTTTTGTGACTTTTTTTCAGGCATTGTAGCTTTTGGGGCTCAGTACTCATTCAGCTCCTGAATTTTGCTAGCCTTTGGTTTGTAAGGATTTCTCTTTCATGCTGGCTCAGTGATGTATTTAAAGTGTTTTAAATTTTTTTATTTATCTAGATTTTGGAGGTGTTGAATAGCAGGAGGGTTTTTAAAGTGTCAAGTTCACCACATTTCCAGAATAGAATCCCACTCTTTCCTGTTTTTAGTATAAAAACTTTTATTAATATAAAATACGGCTTAAGTGATCACTTACTACCACTTCTACCTTTTCTTCTTCTCTTACTGCACAGCCATCCCACTCACTGCTGAAAAGGAAGGATCATGTAGTGGAAAGAGCATCATACCAGGGGTAAAAAGGCACAAGTTCAAAAGGCAACACTACCACTCACTGAGATCTTGACCAAGCCACTTACTCTGAGTTTCATTCAATCCTCTGCTAAGTGGAAACATTTAGGATTGGAGTGAGATCACATTGTGTTTATAAATATGAACATGATGTAAGGGAATAGAATGAGAAACCATATCAATATCAAGTACATTCTCTTAGGAAAATGAATCAAATGAAAGTTAGGGTGGTGAGTGGTTAGGTTGCACTAGGGATTTTTTTTTAGCATAATGAAGCCCTTTTGTATCATTTTCTAGTGGTGGATACTTGGGTTACTATGTATTTGTTAAAACGTAGAGCTTTACACCACAGACTGAATGGGAGAATGCTAGGAATTGAATTCTGGGGCTTGCACATGCTAACCACATGCACCACCACTGAGCTTACCCTCTGCCCCAAGTAAATCCTTTTCTTAATTGAGATCTTTTTTCAGTATTAAAGCTTAAGTTCAGAGACTTGAGCACACTAGGTAAGCACTCTACCATTGAGCTACATACCAACCTCCCCAGAGTGAATCTTAGTATGTACACAATTTAAAAAATTAATTTAAGGGAATGAAGATTCTAGAATGGAATGCCAACTGCAACAAAAGAATCTAATTGTTTTTACTAATGTTTGCAATAACCTCACTGATAGGGGCCAGGGAAAAATTGTTGATGTGACTAACTTTGTAAGACTAAAGACAATAAGAACTGTACATAGTGTTGTACTCTAATTAATGAAGTTTCCCACCATAGTGTGGGTCAACAGTTCTGAAACTATTATAGCCATGCACTGGAATTAAACATTTATCAATTTCATGGTGATGATGAGAGCCAGGTTTCTTATTGTTGGAATAGAAGGCTGTAGTCAGGCAACAGTGGAAGGCTAAGGTATCCCTGTCATAGCAGATTAGAGTTGGTGATATTAGTGTAAATGCTTATTTAATGTAGATACAGACAGATACATATGGAAATATTTACAGATATAAACATAATTGGCTTGTTATGTACATATGTATTTCCTTGGTCAGTTGAGAAGGCCCAGAAGTAAGGACAACCTAATACTAAAGGGTACCTCCAGTGCCCAACTATCCTCTCATGAGAAAAGAAAACCTGGAGAAATGGATGGTTCTAGGATAGACTCTGGAATAAACAAGATGAGCCTGCAGCATCTTGTAATACAAGAAAATAAGTAAGTGCTAAAAACAAAAACATGTTGAGGGGGTATGTCAAACGGCTATCGGTGCCACCTGAAAAAGGTTTTGGTTTGTAAAACTGAACACTGAGCAACAAAATAAATCAAGCATTATTGGGCTATAACTCAAACTTAAAAAATAATCTGTCGCTCATATTGACATAAATGGAAGATCAAATAAATCTAGGAGAAGAGAAAAACATCTCTTGCAAAGGAATTCCAAATACTTTTATAGATATTCTGCCCATAAAGAGATGGAGTCTTAATTCTTCTCTTCTCACATTCTTCATAGTAGTTTCCTTCCAAAGAGTACAATGTAAAAAGGTTGGTATGGAGGGGGGGATAACTTTTGCAGAGAAACATGTCACACACTGCCTCAGCTAGATGATCAAGGTTCATGTCAACAGTGATAAGTCATGTTGATAGTGCTTACCCTACCTGTGACGAGATAGGAGCAGCATTCTACCTCTATGGCTTTCCTCCATAAAACTCATAATCTTGGGGCTGAGAGTGTAGCTCAGTGGTAGAGTGCTTGCTTAGCATGAATGACCTGGGTTTGTCCCTCAGCATTATATGCACATGTGTATGTACACACACGCACAAAAAAACATAAAACCTATAACTTTAATCTAATTGGGAGAAACACATCTGATAAATATTAATTGGGATAGTTACATAATCTCTCACCAATTTTCCTGAAAACTGTCCATGTCCGCAGAACAAGAAAAATCTGAGACATTGTTAGAAACCAGAAGAGCCTTGAGAGACATGATAACTGTGATATCCTGGATACAATTCTAGAAAAGATAAAGGATATTAGGTAAGAAGTGAAGGAAATCTGGACTTAAGTCCAAATACTATATTACTATTGAGTTGTTCATTATAGCATGTGTACCATAATACAAAATTTTAGTAATAGGAAAGCTGTGTCAGATATATAGGAACTCTGATGATTTGCAGTGAAATTGAAAGTTTCCCCTTAGGGCCAGTGAAATAGCTCAGCAGACGAAATGCTTTTTTTTTTTGCGGAACCAGGGATTGAACTCAGGCCCTTGCACTTGCCAGATAAGCACTTATTCTACTGAGCCATCTCCCCGACCCCTAAATGCCTTCTTAGGCAAACACAGGGACCAGGGTTCGATCCCCAGCACCACAGGCTATGCTGGCTGGACCCCTGGGCACGCTGAGCTGGCCATCGAGACTGAGTGTGGTGGCGCGCGCAGTCTGCCTTGGTTCAGACCTCAGGCTCACTACTTACTATGTAACCTCAATAACACTTTTTTAGTATACGTGCTGCTGAAGTGAGTGCAACCTCAGTAACCCTAAATAACCATTAAGGAAGAATTATTTACCTCTCTGTGCTCCAGTTACCTTTTCTATTAAATAGATTCTTGGGAGGACGGAATTAATGTGCATAAAGGACTTTGCTCTTTGACTTTGGGAATCGCGGTAGTTGGAGTTGAATTTCACTGCCTCTCTTCTCTTTTTGTTAAACTGATTTTTAGGTTGGTACTTGTTATGGTTTTGATCTAAAATCTCACCCAGAAGTCTCATTTCAGAATTGGAGCCCCTAGAAGGTGGCTGGATATGGGTACTTTACTCACTATTGGATTAACCCACTGATGAGTTGTAGCTGACTGTGCTGCTTACAGGTGGGTCTGGCTGGCAGAGGTAGTTCTCTGGCCTCGAGACCCAGAAGGGTATATTTTTGTCTCCGTCTCCTTCCTTCTCTCTCTTTGCTTCCTGGACACTGTGATGTGAGTAACTTTCCTTCCTTTGTCCTTTCTGACTTGCATTTGGCGTACATTGGCCTCACTCACTGAAACTGTGAGCCAAAATCAACCTCTTCTTTTTTTTTTTCTTTCCACTTCTTTAAATAGCTATGTGGGTGTTGGGTATTTTGTCCCATTCATGAGAAAGTCACTGATAGAGCACTCTAACAAAGCAGTAGCCATAATGCTTTGTTCATGAGAAATAATCAAGATTGTAAGGATTCAAGAGAAAGCAGGACCAGAACTTGGATTCTGGGTTGTTAACCTAGTTTCATTCTTTATGTGCAGTAGTGACTGAGTGGATATAGATATAGGGCTTGACAGGATCTAATTTTTATTTTGTTTTTATTTCTTAATGTATTTGGTTGTTGCAGGGTCTTACTACACAGCTTGGACTCATAGTGGTCCTCCTACTTTCAGCCTCCTGAGCCCTGGGATTACAGATATGTGTCACTATGTCCAGACTCAGGCTGCTCAGCCCACCCTGGGGGCAGGGCTAGCCAGGCATGTGGTGCCAGGGGTTTAACTGTGGTTCTTGCACTTGCCTAAGCTTGCCTAAGCAGAGGCTTTAGTCTGCTGAGCTATCTTGCTGGCCCAGTATCTACTTTTTTTTTTTTTTTTTCAGTACCAGGGATTGAACTCAGTACCTTGCACTTGCCAGACAAGCACTTATTCTACTGAGCTATTTCCCAGGTCCCAGTATCTAGTTTTTATTGGCATAGACATAGAAATTTTAAAATTAACTTTTTGGTCTTCAGTAGATGCCTTATTAAGCTGTCCACCTCTTTTATTAAACCGATGTGATTTTGAGGCAAAGCAGTACTCAAACTGCAAACCCCTCCCCACCTAAAATACACAGAACCTCTTTAGAAAACTCTCTACTGCTCAGTAGCTCCAGTGTGCAGTGTACAATGAAGAATTTGGAATCTGGAGGTCTGCTTGTTGAGTGGGTGTTTGTGCCTCTGACCATGCATCTCCTATGTATTTGGACCTCAGGCTCTGCATCTTTAAAATGGTGAGGAGTACAATTATCTTAGCTATTCTGTGTATATACATACATGATTTTTGTTTTTGGAAGTGGTGTATTGTTTATAATGTCTTATTACCTTTCTATTCTCTTTTTTATTTTTAAAGAATACAAAATGGAGTTATAAAGAAAAAACAGCATTAGAAATGATACAAGATTTCACTAAACCAAATAATAGGAATTCAACAATGGTTGCTGTATTACATGATGCTATCTTCAAATTAGTTGTTCACATTACCAGATATAAATGTGTGACATTCATTTAAAACAACAAAACACAATAACAAAGAAGTTACAAGAAATTTAAAAGCAGAAAAAAAATTTTAAGCATTAACTGCTCCTTTCTTTCTTTCTTTCTTTTTTTGTGTGTGTGGAACTGGGGATTGAACTCAGGCCCTTGCACTTGCCAGGCAAGCTCTTATTCTACTGAGGCATCTCCCCAGTCCCAATTGCTCCTTTCAAAAGACCAGCAGAAATCGACAATACAATTATCTAAACTATTCTGCGTATATACTCAAGTATCTTTTTTCCTTCTTTCATTTGTCATTTTCCTCATTCCAGTTTTTCCTTCTCATTGAATAAATTCTTTCCCTTTCACAATATCTGTTGTACCTTTTAGATTTTCACTATTTCAAGTTCTTACACTAGTGAGATAATATGATGTTTGCACATGTGAATCTGATTTATTTCACTTAGCAATAGTCTCTACGTCCATTTATCTACAAAAGCTTCAAATTTATCTTTTTTATAATTGAATAATACTCCATTGTGTAAAAATACTATCTTTTTTACCCATTCCTCAGTTGATGGCATTTGGATTGTTCTCAAAATTTAGCTATGACAAATTGTGCTGCTGTAAACGTGGGTGAACATATATCACTGTGATATGATGATTTCAGTTCTTTTGGAAAAATACCTAGCAAGAGAGTAGCTGGCTTGAATGGAACCTCCCATCCTGGCTTTGTGAGGAATCTCCATACTGATTTCTGTAATGGTTGTACCAGCCTGCACTCCCGCCAACAGTGAAGAAGGCTTACTTTTTCCCCACACCCTCTCCAGTATTTGACATCATGGATCATCTATTCTCTTTAAAATAAATTTTTAAAAAGAAAAACTCAAAGTTATCATTTATATATATATATATATATATATATATGTGTGTGTGTGTGTATGTATAAAATATACAAATAAAATCTAATTAAAAATACAAATTCATTTCTAAAAAAAAAATAAAACAGTGAAGATAGGGCTGGAGATGTAGCTCAGCGGCACAAACGTCTGGCAAGAGCTGTGTCCTGAGTTCAATTCCCAATACCAAAAATAAATAAATTTTAAAAATGGTGAGGATAGAGATGATTGTCTGCCTTTCTCACAAAATTGCCATGAGGATTGGGTATAAATATAAAGCAAGAACTTTCTCTAAGTTGTAAAACCTACACATATGTCATGTCTACCATGATTCTCAGGATTTCAACCAGAGTATGTTCCAGTGAGGCTTAGACATGTTTCTGTCATCTGGAGGTTGTGATTATTAAGTAAAAAGGTGAAATGATGCGAACTACAATGCTTCTAATGGAGTATTTCTTTCAGCAGTTTAGTTTTTATGGTTTCTTTGGTGTTAAAAAGGAAAGCATAACTTTAATTTGTAATTGTCTCTTTTTGAGTGTTGCTCTCAAACTCTTCATAAAAGTTAGCTGGACAGCACCAAGGTTGAAACCCTGTGTGGTTTGGGAAGCTATCTCCTGGGGACAGTCTCTTGGCCTGATACAGACCTGACCAGCAGAGGGCACCCGAGCTTTCCTAGGAGGCTTCAGCTCTGTGCAGTGATGGGCAGACCTGGCTGGGATCCTCTCTGTTTGCAGTCTGATGATGAACAAGTACTATAAATGAAAAGATCAGAGCACCTCAGAAACACAGTTATCAAGTGAAGAGTGGTCATAATGCCAAAACACCATGGGTTTTTTAAAATTTTATTGAGAAATAAATATGAATGAGACAGTTTCAAAGCTGATTAATAGGACAGTTTCAATAATCAATACATTGTACATTGTTGTCTTCTTAGTGGTTATCCATAGTACAAGAAGCAGACAGGATATCCTGTCCAAGCACTATTAGTACACCTCTTATCATTGAATTAAGCGAAAGTAGCTGTATATCCTAACTATTGTGTATATATAAATGCAAAATGATCTTTCCTTTGTATCCTCTTTTTTTTGGTTAGTCCTGTCAGAGGTGACTATTCTGTTGGCATCTAAATACTAAGGTAAAACACCATGTTAAAATAGTGGTCATTAAAGGTTAGGAATGGTGAGAGGGAGAATAGAGATCCAGTACTGGGTACTAAAAAAACAAATGTTACTGTTCCACAGCACATTACAGTGACGTAGTTTACCACTACTTACTTTTTTTTTTTTTTTTTTAAAGAACTAGATTTCAAGAGAGGAGTTCAAAGTTCGCAACACACACACACAAATGTTCAATGTTTGAGGAGATGAAAGTGCTAGTTACCCTGATTTGATTACTATACCCATAAGTATGTACAATTAAAAACAATTTTGAAAGAAAAACAAAAAGGCAAGATAACAATATTTGCCATAGTTGGTGAACAGGAAGTTTCTAGATAACTGGAATTTGTCATTGTAGCCTGGGTTATTTGTTGGTTTCCCACCTCCTACTATTCTTCTCCTAATCATTTCTTTTTACTCAGAGTCCTCACTTTCACCAGCTCCACAATCCTTTGGTACATGCGGTTTTTAAACCATCTTTCTCTGAAGTTCTTTGGGCCTCAGCATTGGGCTCCTGAATCAAATACATTCTGTGTCCCGCTAACCAGGCTATTGCACAGTCAGCATCTTTTACCCTGTGTAAATAGGTGACCAATAGAAAAGTTTACTAAGCCTTTCTAGTGTTCTACTACCCATATCAGATTTTTCCCCATCTTTCCCTAGCTTGGCTCCTTTAATCATCAATATTATTAGAATTTATATACTTAATGATTTTAAAAATAATTTTATTTTTTCT